TTTCTTTACAATACGTTTCCAATTACTCCACAACCTTTTTTTGACTTTAAACTGAAAAACAAAAGCCCAGCAGGTTGATAATGCAATTATCATGACTTCTATAAATAAACACCATTTGGGAAGAACTTCCAAAAGGCTTCAACGGAAAAATGAATGACGAAAAAAATTAGTGGAAGACGAATTAAAACTGAACATCTAACAGCAGTAAAGTTGTTTGAAACACCTAGCAAGGAAACTTAAATGTTTTGACTACAAATGAAAATGTAAATGTTTAAAAATGTGTGTCCTAGAGCAAAATTATTGTTACCAACCGGCCTCACAAACGCATTTGAGATGAAACAAAATAATAACGTGGATGCCGAAGTAGATATTTCAGTCTGAATATTTTTAAAAGTAATATGTATTGAATGTTTTAAAGAAAAAATGTTTACAAAACACTAAATTTGAATTGCGAGTCATCAGCCGGCTTGAACTTCAAAGTGATATTTAACTTTTTATTTATGCCATTTATTTCATATACTAATGCATCGTTAATATTTTCAAGGTCGGTTTTAATTCGTCTTCCACTAATTTTTTTCGTTATTCATTTTTCCGTTGAAGCCTTTTGGATATTCTTCCCAAATGCTGTTTATTTATAGAAGTCGTGATAATTGCATTATCGAACAATGTTTCCATGCGGATGAACAACATTCTTCTTTTGATAAGGCCTATCGCTTCCACTAGGATCATGGGTAGGCCAATGATTTCCTGTAAAACCATCAAAGTAATAGGAAGTGCTCCCCCAGGGTGTACTCATATAGAACAGCGGTCCATAGGCTCGGTTCGGCGAAAACTTAGAAGGCGCAAAAGAAAATGATATGCTTGAGTCAATCACGAGTTTAATTATCTTACAGTTCACGTCACCTTCCTGCCAATCAACCAAGCTGCTATTTCCCGGATGACACACCAGCCAGTTGTTTACGTTCTTGATGAGAACCTGTCTGCCGAGTTGTTTCCAGAGTGATAAGTTTATGGCGTTGTAGTCTGTTTCATTTGATGGAGGAGTTGTGGAGATAGGAACATCCACTTCGGGTCTCACCGGCCAATTTGGCCTCGGAGTGATTGCATTTGATTTGCTCGTAAAATGACTATAATAAGTGAAGGAATAGCTCCACACTAGTGTCCAGCCTCCTCCATCAGTTTCCATGTCACAGTAAGCCTTGAAAGCGTTGGCCTGGGATCCACCATCAGGATCAATCCAATAAACACCAGAGATCAAAGTAGGATATTTACTGAGGAGAGTCTGACACGAGTGTCCTGCTAAATGCTGGGTTGAACCAGAGTGCAAGGGAATGCTTTGACCTACAGGGTAACAGATGTTTCGGAAAGACGATAACAACATGTTTGGTGATCAGAAGTAAGATCTGCAAGAAAGGAAATTAAAATATGATAACATAAGGAAGAACAGTCAAAGTAGGAGGACCCTGTTGGATTATTGCTTAACATATTGCAAAACTTTGAAGAGAAGTGACTCACAAATTTTAAAGCCATCATCGATGGGAAAATTAACATTGGGAGCAGATCTTTACTCCTCATGATTTTATCGAGTTTTGTTTGTCAAACAAAAATAAACGTAATGCATTCGAGTACAACCTAAAAGGACTTTATGTTCTGTTTTATTTGTTTACTTATCATTCTTATCATTCTCTCGGGGATCGGAGAAAGTATGGGTGTGCGAGTTTTTGGGAAAAAAGATTGAGTGTTCAGAAGTTCAGAACGCGTGGTTCAAAACCTTGAAATAAAGATCAGCTTTAATTTGCCTTTTTTTATCGAATGAATCTAAGAAAACAATCATAAAAGGCAAAAACACCTGTAATAATATCCAGAAATCTAACGAGAATTGATTTGATCAGGTGGCTGTACTCAATTACCAAAAAAACTCAAAGTGGTTTTGGAAAGCTTCTGAAATATATCAATTACGGTTTATTAATGCAGAATAAGTCATAGCAAACACTATGGTCTTAACATGTAATACAAGTTGTTTTTATTAGCATTTCGAAGGTAGTTAGCCTAAAA